AAGTTGCTGATGGAAGCGAAGGACATTTTTATCTTGGCAGAGCTGGTCATGAAGCATAAAAATCTGATGGAATTTCAGTTGCACCATCATCTTGGTGTTTTTGATCATACCCTGAAACAGCCCTGAGAGTGATGTTGAGGAGAGCCTGGAAGGAGGCCCAGAGAGGCCTAAGGGAGAAGAGGACTAATCTGTCGTGGAAGGAGAGCTTTTCTGCAGCTGAAGGCAAAAAGGGCTCAATGAGGGAGGGTCCCAGGAAGGGATGTGGCTGGATGCAAGCATGGAAAGAGAAGCTGAGAATCCAGAAGCAGTCAGGAATTCAGGAGAGGCGCCTTGTTGGTCAAGGAATGCAAGAACAAGAAGTCTAATTAAAATGATGAGAAAATTCTGCCTCAAGAAATTCCAGAAAATGTAACTTCTGTATTATGGAATGTATGACCTGCTTTTCTGCTTACATAAGCAGGCAGAGAATTGTAGAGAGAGATAAAACATAAGACATGATTGTTAATATCACTATCATTAAAGTCAATATCATTGAATTCAATTGACATTTAAAAGCTGGGTAAATTCAGTGCATATTTGGGAGTCCAATGCAAAGCATTCCCTCACCTGAGAGTCAAGTGGAGAAAGTCCACTCCCACGAACCAGGTAGATGGGTTCAGCAACAGCAGCACCTGCAAAAGGGCCTCTCCTGCTCACCTGGCCAGAGGAGGCTGTTGAGGTTCTCTCCTATGGCTTGGAAGGTGGTATGTGGGTTTGAATGGGGAGGACCTGACTCCAGCTAAGTGGTGGTAGGTCTTTGGGCCACCTAGATCTGGGCCTTTTCTGTCTTTAGCCTCAGATGGAGTCACCCATCCCCGTTCAAGAGGGGTGCAGAGTCCTCTTGGACTCGAAGAGCAGGTGGCAGCTGTGGCCATTGCACAGCTCCATTTGACGTGCCTGTTGCACCCTTCCTCCTAGATTAGAAGACCCTTCAGACAGTCACCAATGCCCACAGGTCTCAATTACTGTAATGTGCTCTACATGGGTACTACTGAAAGCCATTAGAAAGCTTCAACTGGTCCAGAATGCAGCAATGCAGGCAGTGATGGGCAGGCCTTGATTTGTAGATTTGATACCTCTGCTTTGCGAGCTGTGCTTGCTCTGTTTATGCTTCCAGGGACAATTCAAAGCTGAGCCCTAAGTGGCGTTGTGCCTGGTTACTTGAAAAATCGTACATTTCTGTGGCATCAGCCTAGCTGCTGCGATCTGACAGGGTTAGTGTGCTCTGTCATCATTGGTTAAAGTTGGTATATTGTTGTCCAAATTCATCATCGGGTTCTCGTGTGTCTACTGATGTTCTTGTTTTCTTGTGAGCCGTGCAGAGTCAGCCTGGAGCAGTGTTTCTCAACCTTGGTAGCTTTAAGATGGGTGGGCTTCAGCTCTCAGAATTCCTTAGCTAGCATGCTATGGGTGCAGACTTTCCCTCCCAGAATGCCCCAGCCAACAAGCTGGCTGGAGAATTCTGGGAGTTGAAATCTATATATGGTGATTGGGGAATTCTGGGAGCGGAAGTCCACCCATCTTAAAGCTGCCAAGGTTGAGAAATGCTATTCTAGAATCTCGCAATACCTAAACTGATTAGATTTAAGTCTGAGTAATCTATCCAAGTCTTAGCCAGAAAAATATTCCTCCAGGCAGGGGTGAAATCCAGCAGATTCTGACAGGTTCTGGAGAACCAGTAGCGGAAATTTTGAGTAGTTCAGAGAACCGGCAAACACCACCTCTGGCTGGCACCAGAGTGGGGAGGGAATGGGGATTTTGCAGTATCCTTCCCCTGGAATAGGGTGGGAATCACTTATCCTTCTTGGTGGTGTGGGAGAGGCTAATCCTGAGCTGTTTCCTTGAATTGTGAACTAATCAGCCACTGAGCCTGGCAGCTTCCTGATGCACGACTGTGTCTGTCTGAGAGAAGGAGCCTGCGCAGGACATTTGAGGATAAATGGGCAGATTTCAGTCTGCCTGTGAAATGCCTGGTAAAATTCCATGTTTTGCTGAAAGCCTCTCCAGCCAGATTGCCATGTCTGGGTTGGCCCTCTTCTCCATCCTGAAGTATTTGCTCTTCCAGACCATCAACTCATTGCAGAAGCCCTGAGCTTAAAGCTGCAGCATACAGTTACCAATGACTGGCTTCTCCAACAGATCCTATCATCCCCTACCTTCAAGGGTCTTCTAGTACTGTACAGGGGCTATAAAATGGTGGAACCAATCCAAGAAAGGATTTGAAGACACCACCAAACTGCTCTGATTGCTTATGAATGTAGAAACTGCCATTGTTTGCCATGGTAATTTGTTAAAAATTAAAAATGATCTCCTTGGACTTTTTTCCTGCAGAGTAGTTGTAGCTCGGACCATCACTATAACTCCATGTGACACAAGAGCTGTAGAAAGAAAGCACAGAGCAAGGACCTATTTTGAGCTATCGACTATTTTCTTCCAAGGTTGCGTCATTGGAAACGGCCATGTTCAGTTCAGAACATTTTCAACATCACTGATGTACAGGGTTTATTATGGTTATGATTAATCATGATAGATTCAGTAGTTCCTCTTGGCTTTCGTCTTTGAACCCAGAACAATTAGAGTTGCCCTGTAATTATTTTGCAAATTTAATTGTCAAATTTAATTTAGATGGACGCCCACTGATGTCATCTTATGTTCTGAGGCTTTGTACCTCAAAGCTGCTGCAGCTCTTTTCCCCACAAAATAGCACTTTGGCTTTCTGGCCAAGGAATCTACAACCCGCTTCCTCCTTCTCCTGGAAGGCAGGTCCAGTCAAGATGGAGCAAGCTCTTCCTGCAGGGAAGAAACCGGGATCCGGTGCGGTTCCTGGGGGCACCAAGAAGAAAAGTTGAGTGTGTTTGCTCTTATCTTCCACAAGGAGATAGGCAGGCAGACTGACAGATCACCTTCCCAGTCTCCTGGCAGCTCTGCAGTTTTCCTGGTCATTGTAACAATAACAGAGTTGGAAGGGACCTTGGAGGTCTTCTAGTCCAACCTCCTGCTCAAGCAGGAAACCCTAGACCATTTCAGACAAATCCTTCAAACCTGCTTAGGTTTTTAGGGTCACCTTGATCCCCTTGAACCCTCTCCAGATGTGAGTTCAGAGGAGAAGGATGAGTTTGAGTCAGCAGAGAAAAGCACAGAGCCAAGTGTTGGTCGGAATTGGGGCTTGGAGAGTGATAGCCTGATGGAGCAGCCTCAGCTGGATTGATTGGAGGACGGACAAGCTGAGGTTGAGCGAGGGGAGCCACGGCGGCAACAAGTTGGCCAAGAGGCTCCAGGAAAGGATCTGGAGCAGCTGCCGCCTGTTAGCAATGAGGAGGAGGAGGACTCCATACCTCTTCCTGGTCCAAGAAAATGTAGGGCAGAGAGGAGACAGGCACAATGCCAGTCAGCTAGACTGCTTGCAAGGAGGCAACCTCGCCTCTCATGAAAGGCTTCATCAGCATCACCCAGGGGTGGGTTCTACTTACCTTTACTACTGGTTTGCAATGAGAATGCATGCAGATCGCCAAATATGACGTCAGGGTGGGTGGGTGGAGCCTCCCGCCACTTTTACTACTGGTTTTCAAGAACCGGACAGAACCCACCACTGGCATCACCTACTTAATCCTGCGTTGAGGATTTGAGCATTGCCGGAGCAACATGCCTAGTCCTGAGCCTTGTGAGCTCGTGTTGTGTATCATTTGATGCGTGGACTGCTTTCCTGGACTTCGTGTGTGACCGTTGGAGATGGTTACCCAGTGACTCTTGCCATACTGAGCTCAGAATGGGGGTGTTTTTTGAGGACCTGTTTGGGGGGTTTGGGGGGTTTGAATAAACACCTGCAAACTCTTGCTGTGCATGTGTGTGTTTGTGTGTAGGGAACGGGGCAGCACAATAATGTTGTCAGCCCTTCAAGGTAGTTCAGATCAGGAAACCAAAACCTAGATTACTAATACAATTTTTACTGTAAGATTACAGTAACCGAATATTGTAAGTCTGAAAGTACTTCCCCACTCCCCAGCCTTTACATTCCAGCATATTAGGGAGAGTCCCTTCTGCAATACTTTCTCCATCCCATGAGCTGTGGTGGCGCAGTGGTTAGAGTGCGATATTGCAGGCTACTTCTGCTGACTGCCGGCTGCCTACAATTTGGCAGATCGAATCTCACCAGGCTCAGGGTTGACTCAGCCTTCCATTCTTCTGAGGTGGGTAAAATGAGGACCCAGATTGTTAGGAACAAGAGGCTGATACTGTAAACCGCTTAGAGAGGGCTGTAAAAGCACTATGAAGCGCTATATAAATCTAAGTGTAATTGCTATTGCTATCCCATTGCTCCTTTGGACTCTGATTTCTCTTATTAGGCCATTGTCCAGCTTTTCCTCCTGTCTTGTTATCCCAAGGTTATTCTCACAAGCTGTTATATCTACAGAAATGGGAGAATGCAGCTGAAATTGGATTCAGGCTCTTTTGAATGTTGAACTTCTCAACCCTTTCCAGTCTGTTCCCTACCTCTTTCTCCATTGCAAAGCACCAAGTTGCTGCTTTAAGTTGTGTGTGTGTGTGTCTGTGTTTTTAATAGCTGTGTTGATAATTGTGTTGCTTTAAAACAGCGTTTCCAACCTTAGCAAGTTTTAGATGTGTGGAATTCTGGGGAATACTGGGAGTTGAAATTCACACATCGTAAACTTGCCAAGGTGGTGAATTCACTGCTTTAAACTGAAAGCTCATGGCAGTGGGGAAAAAATACTTGTGTGAGCACCAGCTGTAACTCACTTTTTTCAGTACTGTCATAACTTCCAACAATAGTTAAGCAAATGGTTGTAAGTCTAGGACACTCTAGTATGTCCTGAGGGTGCTTTTCTTTTTCCTGGGTCTTAAACAACCAGGGAGTTTATATAACTCTCACCAAAGGAGTCTTCTAGTGAGAGGATATGTTGCTGATGATCTGACACCAAGTTCTTTCTTTTTTTCTCTTCCAGAATAAAGTCTTGAATGTGGATGGCGTCAAAGTAAAACTGCAGGTAAGCCAAGCCATGTGTCAGTTTTGATTCTGGATGTTTTGCTGTTTCATTGTACCTGTGGCTTCTGTAGAGCAACCAGCATCCTTAACAGATTAACAGAGTTGGAAGGGACCTTGTAGGTCATCTAGTCCAACCCCAACACCCACTCACCCCGCTCAAGCAGGAGACCCTATACCATTTCTGACAGATGGCAGTCCAGTCTTTTCTTGAAAGTCTCAACTTCTGAAGGCAACTTCTGTTCCATCGGTTGATTGTTCTCACTGTCAGAAAGTTCCTCCTTGTTTCTAGGTTGAATCTCTCCTTGGTCAGTTTCCATCCATTATTCCTTGTCTGGCCTTCGGGTGCTTTGGAAAATAGCTTGATCCCCTTCCTCCTCTCTGTGGCAGCCCCTCAGATATTGGAAGGCTGCTATCCTGTCTCCCCTGGTCCTTCTCTTCATTAAACTAGCCATGTCCAGTTCATGTAACCGTTCTTCGTATATTTTAGTCTCCAGTCCCCTAATCCTGTCAGATTCAGATGTTGTTTGATAGTTTCTCTGCCCTATTCACCTCCTTCAGGATTCAGGATACCCAGAACATCTTGTCACAGGCAAAGCGAACAGCCAGCCTGAGCTGACTTGGGGAAGATGTTCCCATGAATATCTTCCGAACAAACCCAGCAGGGGTTTATAGATTAAACTGGGACAGCCAGAGCTTGTCCAATTAAGAAAAATACAAATATTACTATGTGCAGTTGAATTCTTAATGCATTTGCTTCATTTTTAAATGCTTGTACATCCACATCCTTGATTCTTGATGAACCTATCTTTAATTTTATGTACACTGAGAGCATATGCACCAAGAGAAATTCCTTGTGTGTCCAATCACACTTGGCCAATAAAAATTCTATTCTACTCTACTCTACTCTACTCTACTCTACTCTACTCTACTCTACTCTACTCTACTCTACTCTACTCTACTCAATAGAACTGGGAGAAATGATAGTCACCACAAATCTCAAAGAGCCCCATGGTTGATCTGAAATATCTTTTCATTGATGATGGTCATAGTCTTCTACCTCCTTTCTCAATGATGTCTGTGATGCACAAGTTTACCACTTTCACTGATTCCCTTATCTCATTTGGCCAAATTATGTCCATGCCATTATGACCATCCACTTCCTCTTTCATTTTACATACATGAAACTATCCATCTGAACCTTCTTTACTGATGTAATTCTTTCCTGAGATACTTTCACAGTCTTTCTGTCAACAAAGACTTTGGAAAAAGTTCAGAGAAGAGCAACTAGGATGATCAAAGGCCTGGAAACTAAAACATGAAGAACGGCTGCAGGATTTGGGTCTGGCTAGTGTAGAGAAAAGAAGAATTAGGGGTGACAGGATAGCAGTATTCCAGTATCTGAGGGGCTGCCACAAAGAAGAGTGGGCCAAATTATTCTCCAAAGCACCAGAGGGCAGGACAAGAAATAATGTTTAGAAACTAATCAAAGAGAGAAGCAACCTGGAATTAAGGAGAAACTTCCTAACAGTGAGAACAATTAACCAGTGGACTAGCTTGTGTCCAGGAATCCTGGGTGATCCATCACTGGAGGTTTTTAAGAAGAGACTGGACAGTCACTTGTCTGAGATGGTATAGGTTCTCCTGCTTGAGCAGGAGGCTGGACTAGAAGATCTCAAAGGTCCCTTCCAGATCTAATATATTCTGTTCTATTCTAATGCATGCTGCCTCTGTCTTCCTCTTTGCCTCATGATGTTCTCTTTGCTCAACATTATTCTTTGTGCTTCTCTTTCACAACCACTTTCTTCTTCTTTTGACAATTTCATTTCTGCACACATTCTTCTTCTCCACTTTCACTTTCTCTACACTTTCAGGTGTCCAGGCAACTTCCTTCCATATTGGCCCCCAGCCTTCTCACAGCACTACCATTCCTCAGCATAGTCAGTTCCTATACTTTCTGTCCCCATTGATGGACTCTTGAGTCATTTGCAAAATGGAAGTGGGGAAGCCGTTCCATTCCTTCAAGAACAGAAGTGCCAATCTTAACAAAACTGTAAAACTGCTGAGCAGTTATTGGACTACTTATCATTTTGAAAACTGGCAGTTATCTTGCCTTCTTCCAGGAGCTTCCATTCACACACATTGCAGAGGGTCTATGACAATTCGCCTCAGCCAACTCACTGCAGGACAAGAGTTACACTAATTTAAAAGAAATGGTGGAATATAATCATTAAAGAAAGAAGGGGACAAAAGGCGGGACAGAATGAAGTGTGAATGAAAAAAATGAAAATAACTTTTATTTATTTTAATTAATTAAATTGAATTGTTAAATTGCCTGCAGCTAGTTGTCCCTTGATGAGATGGCCACAGCGAGCTGACTGCAGCGAGTTCGTTGTGGTTAGTTGGCTGTGGCAAGTTGTCCCATTCTGCATTGCAGACACCCCCCCCCCCTCATTTTTTCCCAACCACATTCTTGCAAGGTTAGGTTGAGAGTGGCACTGTCAAGACATTTGGTTAACTTCCATGATTGAAGATACCACCTGAATCTCCCCAGTTTTAACCCTTTACCTTAATCGCTCTGCCTGAGTATGTAACCCAGTGTGCATGGAAGAATGACTTTTAAAACAAGATGTATGCTGGTTCAGTTCAGTCACTCAAGATGATTAATTTGTTTATTTTTTAAAGAAAATATTTCAGTCTATATATTATCTGCCATAATTCAAGTTCATTATGAAGTCCAAGTAGATAAATATTGGGAAACAGTCATTCAGTGGAAAAGATTGTCAGTGTTGTAACATGAATAATAAGTTACAAACACTGTAATACCAAGTAGCAGTGCTACATGAAGAATTCAGATCTTCAGCTTCCAGCTTCATTCACTGCTCCCCAAGATGGTGTCATGAAAACAACACCTGGATAACCACAAGTTGCCCACCAGAAGGGCTCCAGAGACACTGTGTGTGAGAAGAAGAAAAAGAGGAAGAGGAAGAGGAGGAGGAGGAGGAGGAGGAGGAGGAGGAGAAAAAGAAGAAGAGGAAGAAGAAGAAGAAGAAGAAGAAGAAGAAGAAGAAGAAGAAAGAAGAAGAAAGAAGAAGAAGAAGAAGAAGAAGAAGAAGAAGAAGAAGAAGAGAAGAAGAAGAAGAAGAAGAAGAGAAGAAGAAGAGAAGAAGAAGAAGACAAGAACAAGAACAAGAAGAAGAAGAGCTGCTACCACTACTACTGCTACTCTTGGAGTAAGGTGGGGGAAGACTGAATTGTTTTTTCCAACAATTGTTCACAACAATTGTTGTTGTGATGGTGGTAGCTGTCTATGAGGCAAATATTGACCAAGCATGCAGCACAACATCTGTGATAAGGCTTTGAATGTGAGGCACACCCCTCATAATTGAAGAAGTCGCTATCAAGATGACATTATTGCCCATTTTTCTATTTGTAAACCAATTTTTTTCTGCTTTCCAACTTTTGAGTAAACCCAGACGCTTCTTATTTATTCCCAAGCATATGAATTACGGTAGATTTTTCTTAAGAAATCAAACTTATCTTAACCACCAATTCTTTCAGGGAAATCTGCCATCTTTCTTCTGGTGAATGGGGCACTCACTAACTTAATAAGCTATTTTACCAGAGAATCTAAGCTTAACCTTTTCTAGTGAGTTCTCCCTATCTGCTTATGTAAGAAGTGCACATCAACCAGTCAATCAATCAAATAAGTAACCAATTTCACTGCACCTTAGTGATTAAGGAAAAAAACACCTTGTGGGACTGAGCCTTTTTTTTAGTCCCTTGTGGAAAAATCAGCCCTCTCTGACCATGGAACCCATAAACCCAATTTTAAAAACCCCCAGTGGAAAATTATTTTGCAGGATCCAATCTGGATCAGTCAACAGGACCAGGGGTTTAATCATTTGAAATTCAGACTAGTGCTGGAGCCCATCCTTAGGGAACTTCTCTCGAGCAGTTTTGGGCTATTCTATGGGTAGTATTTATGTGGTGCCTGGTTGTATGTGGCTTTTTAGTTGTTGATTGGGACGTTGATGGTCAGCCATTAAATTGTTGGCTGTTGTTTCCTTCTGAAATTAAATCTCTGGTTGGTTCCTGTGAGCGAGCCAGATTGGATCCTGCAACATTATCCTGGGACACGTAGATTCACCTTCATTTGTGAAAATTATTTTGTTACCTATAAATTACATTTCATGAATATAAATCTGCATTCACTTCAACATTAATATTTCCTATATATTGGTCCCCCATACGGAAGAAATTGAAAAATCCAGCTAATTGTTGGAAAGGCCGTACTAATTCAAATGAGCCGGTTGAAGGTTCCCTTTATGTAGAAATGTAATATGCAGGATAACTTCTACACAAAGGGAGCCTTTTCTTGCCTCAGATGAACTAGTTCGGCACGTCCAACAAATTAGCTGATTTTTTTCAATTTCTTCCACACTGGAAGCAATTAATAATTTGCTTTGGAAGAGTCACTGAATTTTGGAGCAGTTCATTTTCTTTTGAACTGTATACCAATTGTGTGGGAAGTAAAAGAGAACAAAGAAAATGAACCCTGAGGAAGATTACAATGAAGAAGGGCTAACGGTACTCCAGGCCCACCTGCCTAGCACAGTTGGACAATCATCTTACGAATTTACTTTTCTTCCCACATTTGAACTGGAATATTCAAGTTGCTGGAAGTCTGAAGGGCAATTTAGAAATTTGGTCTCTAAATTTGAAAGTATCTGTTTGTTCTCACTTTTCCCCTCTTCTGAAGTTAAATTTACTCAAAAGTATGCAAGGTAATTCTGAACATATGTTTAAGATTCATATAAACTCCTCTTTTTCATTTATTATTTTCTTTTTCCAAAACCATAAAAGGGTTGGTCTCTTTATTTTTTTTTGCTCATTTAATCTGGACGTACAATTGTCTGTGTTGTCCTCTTATATCCCCTGGAAAAAGTGCTAAGATATAGACGGATGTTAACAATATTTGCCTGGTACAATAAGATCACAAATAAATTTGAATAATTAATTGTGGATGCAAAGACTGGCACAATTATTTGCCTAAAGAGGCCTGAGAGATTTTTTCTCTGAATATCATCCCCCACCCGTGCTAAATTCCATCAGGCAAATTTATTGGTATTCCCAAAAGAGTCACTCAACCACAACAATAGTAGTTTTTAAACATTTAATTGACAAATGGACCATTAAAAAGAGAAGCTGCCAATTTTCCTTGAGAAACAGTATCCCTTTGGATCCAGATCAAAATAGCTTCGCTTGGTCTATTTGAGCTGAATGTAAAAACAGTGCTTATGGCTAAATTAAATCTGCCATTAATTTTAGTGTGACAAGTATAGCTACTGTGTCCTGGATCCAGTTTATTGAAAGGGAAAATTTGTGTTTGGAATTTGTAATACTTGCAGCAAGAAAAAAGAAAAAAAAATAGTTGTATTGTTCTCCTTTCTCCCCCTGGGTGAACTCTCTGGACATTTTTATTTATTAATTTAACACATTTGTATGGTTGCGGTAATTCACACTTGGTGACATAAACACTTGGGTCTAGGACAGGGGTCTGCAACCTTATATACTCAAAGAGTATGGATCCATTTGGACCCATTTCCCACAGAAAAGAAAACACCGGGAGCCACAAAACCTGGGTGGGCATGGCCAATTCGATGTCACTCATTTCTACCAGTCACATGACCCCCGCCTAGCCATGCCTACACAGCTGGTCATTAGGGCAGAGAACCAGTTGTTAAAAACACCGGGAACCACAAAATCCTTTTAACATCTCTCTCTCTCCCCTCCCTCCCTTCCTCCCTCTCTGTATCTCTCTATGTCTCTCTCTCTCCCCCACTCTCTGTATCTCCCTGTCTCTGCCCTGGCCGCTTCTCCATCCCCCACCGTCACCCTTACCTTCTCAGGCCAGGTGAGGAGTGACTGGGATGGGAGGGTCAGCCAGTGGTGGGATCACCTGACAGGGAGCCACAGCAGAGGGCCCAAAGAGCCGCATGTGGCTCCGGACCCGCAGGTTGCTGACCCTGGTCTAGGACAACTCGTCGCAGCCAACTTGTCACAGCCAACTCTTAGTGGCCAATGCGACGCGGGACAAGAGTTACACTAATATCAAAGAAATGATGGAATAGAATCATTAAAGAAAGGATGCAAAAGGAGGGGTAGAATGAAATGTGAGTGATACAAATTATGTTTAAATTATTTTAAATTATTGAATTATTGAGTTGTCCCATGGCGAGTTGTCCCATTCCATCAACACTTTGCCTGCAGGATGGCTTATTTTCTTTTTCATGTGCTTTAGTGCTTTTTGCTCTTTTCAGATTTGGGACACGGCTGGCCAGGAGAGGTTCCGCAGTGTCACCCATGCTTACTACCGGGATGCCCACGGTAAGAACTTCTGCGATGTTTTGAGAAGTCAGTTCCTTGTGCAAGAAGGTTGCCACCTTGAATAGACTGTAAAGCCCTACCTGCGGTCTTCCCCTTTTGATTTTTATATTTAAAATTGAGCTTCGAAAGACGACAAGAAATGTATTTCACACACTTGCTCACTTGTGAAGAGGATACTGCTTGTTCATTTTCCCAGGTTAGAGGCATTATAAATTCTCGGTTGTGCCAGCCAATCAGAGCTTGTTAAAAGAGAAACAGGAAGAAATGATATAAATAAGGAAGTTTGTAAGTGAGGGAAGATGAAGTAATCAGAAATTGAGGGTGATAGATTCAAACATTTTTGTACCAAGAAGTGAAAAATAATCAAGTGAAATTATCACTATCTGAAATTACTGAGAGTGTTTACAGAGTGGAATGAGCATTAAAATGACTCCCTGGGTCTGCCTGAGCTTTTAGTTCCCCTGTTTGTTTCAATAACAGCACAATATTTTAATGATCCTTTTCACAGATAATCAGTCATCATGTAGAGGGAGATTTATAGAGGGAGGAAGTGATAGATACAAACTCATGGTAAACCGATCCAAACTAAACTGCAGAAAATACGACTTCAGTAACAGAGTTGTCAACACCTGGAATGCACTACCTGACTCTGTGTATAGTATAGTATAGTTTATTGAATAGCCCGAAGGCCTTTTCAAACAAAACAGAAAAGAAAAAGGGAAAAAGATAAAACAGTTACAAAAATAGCAATCTAAAAATATATGATAGATGACATTAAATTTTACAATATCAAATTTCAATAGCTAAGTTGCCAAGACTAGATAACCCAAATAGGATAGCTCCTCTCTAACTGAGCTCATCTTCCTTACAATCGATAAATTTTTTTTTTATATAACTGGCTCGTATTGCCGTCATTCTTTTAAGGTATCGAGTGATCGCTCTTACCAGGGGAGGAGAGTCAGCCCTCAACAGAAATGCTAATTTTTGGCTTATATTCCAGTGGGGAAATTTATTTATAATTGGGGACAGATATTGTTTTCTTACTTCTTGATAGAGACTACATTCGAATATTATATTCGCCGTGTCCTCCACGACGTTTACCCCACATATGCATATTCTTTTGTCATACGGGATTTTCCGATAACGGCCGAATCTAACGTTGGTATCTAGAAGTTCGAATCTAAACTTAACAAATAACTGTCTCTCCACTGATGGCATTTCTAGATGTAAATACTTTTCCAGAGTGAAAGTTGTTTTAACTGCTGTCAGCAGTTTAAGGGAATGATTAGTTGAAAGGGTTGCCATGTCCGTTTGCCCATGTATATCTTTAATCCGTTGTTTAACTTGGTTCAGTGTGTCACACAACGGGAACCCTACGCCATATCGGTTCAATATTTCTGACAGCCGGGTTAGCCAGGAATACCTTTGAGGATTTGAAATCTGCTGTTCCTCTAGACATATTTTAGGGAGTCTGCTGGCATCCATCTGGGTCATTTTTAGCCAGTAGGCTACCGCCCTAGTGATTGTATAGGTGTCCAGTGAGAAATGTCCCAATTCAGCTCTGACGGCTGCAGCTGAAGTGGAATTGTTTATCCCAAGCATCCTCCTTAACAAATTATTTTGAGTTCTCTCTAATATGGGGGCCTCTGTAAGACCCACCTGACTCTGTGGTTTCTTCCCCAAATCCCCAAAACTTTAACCTTAGACTGTCTACTGTAGACCTCACCCCATTCCTAAAAGGTCTGTAAGGGGCATGCATAAGCGCACCAATGTGCCTTCCATCCCTCTCCTAATGTTTTCTTTTATTCGTATCCTTTTCATGTATTTATAATTATGTTTACACTTGTCTCTGTCATAAAATACATGCTTGAATAAATAAAATAAAATAATATAATAAAATAATAAAATAAAATAAAATAAAATAATAAAATAATAAAATAATAAAATAATAAAATAATAAAATAAAATAAAATAAAATAAAATAAAAAAACTGTTGGCCATGTTTGTCTGGATTAAAATTGGAAGGACAAGCAGCTGCCATTGTGCCCAGAAGCAAACTGTGAAGATAGATAGATATATACTCTTGGTACATAGAATGACAGAACCATAATCCCAGATAATCTTCTCAGAACTAAAATGCCAAGGTTGAACTTCGGTATTCTGGCTATTGCAGAGCTGAAATGGACTGGAATGAGTCACTTCACATCCAAAGACTATCTAATCCTCTAGTGATCCTGAATCATAGAAGAAATGAGTAGTTATATGTATTTAATTTAATTTAGAGGCTGCCTGTCTCCATGATTCTGGACATCTTCCAACTTAAAAAGTAAAGAACAATAAGTAAAAGATCATGCTCATCTGGAGAAAATAAAGACCGCACACCAAAGAAAAACCAACTGGGCAGTGGTGGGATTCAAGTAATTTAACAACCGGTTCTCTGCCCTAATGATTTCTTCCAACAACCAGTTTGCCAAACTGTTCAGAAAGTTAACAACTGGTTCTCCCGAAGTGATGCGAACTGGCTGAATCCCACCACTGCAACTGGGACTCAACAACCACCCTTCCCTGAGGTATGGGTTTCCCCAAGTTAGGTTTTCAAGGATTTACAGAACCTCATCAGGGTGAGACCTGTATGGATTTCTGAAGAAAGGCTGGTCCAGAGGCAAGCAAGCAACCAACAAAGAAGGAACAATATCTAGATCCCAAAAGATGACATTGTTGAACAAAGGGATCTAAAGCATACTCACTTTATATCGTGTTACAAGATGATTATTGGCTTTAAGTGGTTCCTCAAATAACTAGGACCTATATTAGGAAGAGCTTGGTAGGTGATAACCAGCACCTTGAATTGTGCCTAGAAGTCAAATGGCAACCACTACAGCATGTAGAGCAGTAGTGTCACGTGGGTCTTCCATGGCACACCATCACTGCTTTTACTGCTGGATCCATTGTAGGGCCTCCCAACCTGGGATTGCAGATGCAGCTGTTGCAATAGAAGGACCCAGGGCAAATCTCCCCTGGCAAATCTGCCACCTCTTCTTTCAGCAGAAGCCTGAATCCGGGACAGATAGCACTCCAGTCTCAAATAGGGAACTGTGACCCCCTCCAAGACCAAAGATGAAAAGTTCCACAATTCATGGGGCCCAAGTATACACAGACACTTGTCAGGGTTGAATCTGAGTTTGTGTTGTGGTCCGCCGGCAGCCTGCGGAGCTGGCAGCAGAGTCGGACAGTGAGGCGGCTGGGGAGGAACATGGGCCAGTCCTGGAGTCTGGGGAAGGCTCGGATGGGGGCTCTGCGTCGGAGGCAGAGAAAGGGCCATCTGGGAGGTACATGCTGCCTCCGGAGCCTCCAGACCCTTATCATGGTGATCCACAACTGTGCTCCAAGCACCAATGCAAAGGAAGCAGAAGAATTCGAGAATGACTTGCAGTACCTTAAATCCAGCCCAGGAAAGATGCTACAGGCAACTGGAACACTAACGTTGGACATAAATAACATATGGAATAACAGGAAAATTTGGACTTTGAGAATGAAACTAATAGAAGACAGATTACTAGAATTCTGCCAAGAACATTCATACCTCTTCTAATAACCAAAAAATTACATATAGACATCACCAGATGGACCAGACCAGTGGTGGATTGCTCCTGGTTCGGACCGGTTCTATAGAACCGGTAGTAAAACCAGCAGGAGGCTCCGCCCACTGACCCGGACATCATAAGAAGTGATCTGCGCATGCACAGAAGCTTCCGCACATGTGCAGAAGAGCATGTGCGCGCGAGCGAACTGGTAGTAAAGGTAAGTAGAACCCACACCTGGACCAGACCAAGAACAAGTTGACTTTATCCTCCGAAGAAACTCTTTTTGTCAGCAGAGACAAACTCAGACACTGACGGTGTCTCAGGTCACAAACTCCTCCTTGTAAAATTACAACTTGAACTAAAATACACACATAAAATATTCAGGCCAACAAGCTACAACCTCAGCAATATTCTGAATGTTTATGCAGTAAAAGGAAAGAATAGATTTAATGGATGGTTTTGATAAAGAGTGCCTTTAAAAAAAAAGGCTGAAATTAATGTTATCATTAAAGATTAATCAAGCAAAAATATCCTGAAATGTAGAAAACCAAAGGGCTGCTTGTTTGTACCTTGAAAAGAACATAAAAATTACTACAGAAAGAAGATAGAAAGAAGACGTAGTAGAAATATATGGAACTGCACACACCCCAAATCCACAAATCCCCGATACACATGAAGATTAGACCGTTGGACACGAGCCAGATATTCTGAAAATAAAGTTAAATGGCCCTTAGATAATATTGCCAAAGACAAAGCCACAGGACTTGATGAAATACCAGAGCAACTGTTTAAAAACTTACAGGGTGATGCAGTTAAAGTGCTACATACAATTTATAACCAGGTGTAAAACACAGCAATGGCCAATAGCCAAGAAACAGGAAAAGAAGCTTTTATTTCCAATACCAAAAAGGCAGGATTTCAAACTACCCAAAATTTTACTTAAAGGTAGTCCTTGTTTACCGATTGTCTTGCCTGCCAACTGTTTGAAGTTGCAACAGTGTTTTTTAAAAAAACAATTTTGCAACCAGCTCTCACATTTATAGTCATTGCAGCATCACGCAATCACTTGAACACTATTCAGATCAGTGGTGGGTTGTCCCCGGTTCACACCGGTTCTATAGAATCAGTAGTAAAACCAGCGGGAGGTTCCGCCCACCGACCCCGACGTCATCAAAACGCTTCTGCGCTTGTGCAGAAGATCGCGCGGCCCCCCTGCGAACCGGTAGTAAAGGTAAGTAGAGTCCACCCCTGATTCAGATGCTTCACAACCAGCTTCTGAGAAGCAGATGGTTGGAGATTGTGAAAATAAATCACAAATTGTGGTCATTTCTTAATATCATAGTGATTTGCTTAACAACCAAAGGGGAAGTGACATTGTAAGCCATTGTCATGTGATTTCCCACTAAGCAACTGCAG